TTTTTTTTTTTTTTTTTTTTTTTTTTTTTTTTTTTGGGACAGAGTTTCGCTCTTGTTACCCAGGCTGGAGTGCAATGGCGCGATCTCGGCTCACCGCAACCTCCGCCTCCTGGGTTCAGGCAATTCTCCTGCCTCAGCCTCCTGAGTAGCTGGGATTACAGGCACGCACCACCATGCCCAGCTAATTTTTTGTATTTTTAGTAGAGACGGGGTTTCACCGTGTTGACCAGGATGGTCTCGATCTCTTGACCTTGTGATCCACCCGCCTCGGCCTCCCAAAGTGCTGGGATTACAGGCTTGAGCCACCGCGCCTGGCCTAACAGGTACTTTTATCTGGGCAAAGAGCTTTACAGAAACCTGAGAGCCGTAACCACATGCATTTCCTCAACATTTCTCACAATTGTTTGGACCCTAATGACAACGAAACTACACCTCTACCAGCACTGACCCTGGACCCAGAGTTCTCCCCAAGGAAAACTTCAATATGAACTGGATATTCAGTAACAGGAAATACTTGTCAATGTTCCTAAGTGCTATAGTGCCCATTATACAGCAAAGTATATTTTTGAAACACATACTTAAGTATTTCAGAATGAAGTATTATGTTGACTGTTTTCAGATGCTTCCTAGCAATGAAATACAGATAAAGCAAATAGCATATCTTTTACATCAAGGTGGTAAACACATAGGTATCAATGTACTAGTCCTTCTAGGTTTTCTGTAAGTATAAACTTTTTCGTTAAAAAAAAAAATCTTGAAATGGCCAGGCTCGGTGGCTTATGCCTGTAATCCCAGTACTTTGGGAGGCCAAGGCGGACGGATCACCTGAGGTCAGGAGTTCAAGACCAGCCTGACCAACATGGAGGAACCCCACCTCTACTAAAAATACAAAATTAGCCAGGCGTGGTGGCGCATGCCTGTAATCCCAGCTACTCAGGAGGCTGAGGCAGGAGAATTGCTTGAACCTGGGAGGCGGAGGTTGCAGTCAGCCGAAATTGTGTCACTGCACGCCAGCCTGGGCAACAAGAGTGAAACTCGCCTAAAAAAAAAAAAAACAAAAACTGAAATCTCACACCACTAGCATATTTACCACTTTTTATACACAAGCCTAAAACACTAACAGTATCACTGAAGCAGCTTATCGATGTTCAAGTCCCATCTAGTAATGCTATTTGTCATGCCTCAGGTATAATAAATTTTATTAGAACCAGAATGACTACATGCTATGGTCTGAATGTGCACCCTCCCACCCAATTCATACACTGAATTCTTCACTGATGTGACAGTATTAAGAGGTGGAGTCTTTAGCAGGTGATTAAGTCATGAGAGAACATCCCTCATGAAGGGGATTAATGCCCTTATTAAGAGGCTTCAGGGCCAGGTGCAGTGGCTCACACCTGTAACCCCAGCACTTTGAGAGGCTGAGGCGTGGCATGGCGGGGGTGGGAGTGGTGGTGAGGGGGGAATCACAAGGTCAAGAGATCAAGACCATCCTGGCCAACATGGTGAAACTCCGTCTCTACTAAAAATACAAAAATTAGCTGGGCGTGGTGTCTGTAGTCCTAGCTACTTGGGAAGCTGAGGCAGAATTGCTTGAACCCGAGGTGGAGGTGGCAGTGAGCTGAGATCGTGCCACTGCACTCCAGCCTGGCAACAGAGCAAGACTCTGTCTCAAAAAAATAATAACAATAAATTAATTAAACTTTAAAAAATAAAAATAAAAGAGGCTTCAGGCCTGCACAGTGACTCACACCTGTAATCTCAGCATTTGGGATGCAGAAACAGGTGGACTGCTTGAGGTCAGGAATTCAAGACCAGCCTGGGCAACATGGTGAAAACCCATCTCTACAAGACACAATTAGCTAGGCATGGTTGCTTGCACGTGTGGTTCCAGCTATTCAAGAGGCTGAGGTGGGAGAATCACTTGAGCCTGGGAGGTTGAGGCAGTGAACTTTGATCATGATGCCTGGATGACAGAGCAAGACCCTGTATCCAAAAAAATAAAAATAAAAAAAAGCTGCCTGGCCCTTCCATCCTTCTACCATAAGGCCACTGTTCATTCCCTACGGAAGATGCAGAAAAAAGTTACCATCTCGGACCAGAGAGCTGTCCTTGCCAGACACTGAACCTACCAGCACCTGGATCTTGCATTTGCCAGCCTCCGCAACTGTGATTCCTATTATTTATAGGTTACCCAGTATCTAAGGTATTCTGTTACAGCAGCAGGAACAAACGAAGACCCTAAAACTTTCAGAAAGATTCACTTAGCTTTCTGGTGAAGTGAGGGTTTGACAACCCATCTTTTTGTTGTTTCATTATGTTCCCAAATTCTTTCCTGATTTTGCAAACATAGTACAATGAGCCTCACAATGTTCCACAGATTGCGCAAGGTCTCCTGGTGGCTATTTTCAACAGCAATATGCTGTCCGGCCCTGTAGAAAACAATTTTTGACCATCTAGCAGAATAGCTGACCAGGCTTTTAATCTGTAACAGCATAAGGTTGCTTTAGCCAAGTAATTCCCTAGCGTGAGTCGTTTTAAATCTGCTTTTAATCACTTTGATAACTACCATTGATTAGTGCCTAACTATATGCTGGGGCATTACATACTTCTCAGGTAGCTCACAGAACCCCTGGCACATACGTGGAAACGCCAGTAAAGATGGTACTGTGCTCCTAGGTTGCCATCTAGCACATGCCTGCATCGTAACTCTGGGCTGCCTTCCAAGTCTCTTTCCATTCCACTACATTAGTGCCAATCAGCACATGTAAGTGCCTCAAGATATAACTCCGCAGTACTCACTTCAGCAGCACGAACACCCAAACTGGAACAATACGGAGAAGACAGCAATGGCCACTGCCCAAGAATGACATGCAAATCCATCAAGCATTAAAAAATAAATAAAAGTTAACTCTGCAGATTTAAGGAGTAGGCGATTTCATTTATTTTCAAAGTCTGATACTATCAGTTGGTATGCTACCAAATTCTGCACTGATTTCTATGAAGCAAGCTGACTTAATTATCTGTCTATACTAGCTCATCTGCCTGAGATGCTAAGAATAGTGAACATTTACTGGAACATACTGTAAGTCAGACACCTCTAGGCTCTTCATAATTTCCTCTTCATTCAACCTTCTCAAAATATCCATGGGGAGATACTATTATTATCCACATTTCATAATTGAGAACACCAATGAGGCTTAAAGAAGTGAAGTTGCTTAAGGATAAAAAGATTATTTCCTTCAAACATTGATCAAGAATATTTATTATTTAGAAATCATGTCAGCCAGGCGCGGTGGCTCATGCCTGTAATCCCAGCACTCTGGGAAGTCGAGGCCGGTAGATCACCTGAGGTCAGGAGTTCGAGACGAGCCTGGTCAACATGGCGAAACGCTGTCTCTACTATCAATGCAAAAAATCAGTCACGCGTGGTGGAGGGCACCTATAATCCCAGCTACTTGGGAGGCTGAGGCTGCAGTGAGCCAAGATTGGGCCATTGTACTCCAGCCTGGGCAACAGACCCAGATTCTGTCTCAAAAGAAAAAAAAAAAAGGAAAGAAATCATGTTTTCAGAAACTGTATTTATAAAAATAAGAATTTTTTATTTTTCCCTTATCTAGTAGCAAACATAAAACTATGCTGACTGTAAAAGCCAACACTATTCTTTCTCCTTTTTCCTTGGATCACAAGTTCGTATACAGTCAAGCAAATGCCCCTAAAAAACCCCCCAGAACTCAAGAGGTGTATTTCCTTCAGAAAAATCAAAGCTAGAATGTTCAGCTATTAAAGTGTTTCCCCCCAGGGTGAGATCAAGTGACTTCACTGCAGTGGCTCAAGAGTAGCTGACTCCCTCCTTCCAAATCAGCCCATCATAGAACACCTATTGCTAAGTAGCAAGCCAGAGGCTTAGACTGGAGACTTCAGTGTTCAGAACTTCAAGCCTGGCCTATGAAGTAAACATTTTTTAAAGTACAATTGCAACTTTATTTTTCTCCAAAGAATTGTTTTTCTTCAGTCCTTAAGAACTCCGCTCCTTATATCGGCTTTGGTGGGGGTCATGGGGCAGCACCTGCAGGTCTACATTGGGTGGAGGTGTTTGGTCCTTGCAGGCTTCATGAGCTCGATTCCTGACTACTGTGCTGTGAATGGCACAACTCACAGTAACGTAGCCTCACATGCAGCCTATGAAGTACACAGGCGTCAAGGACGCCCACTTCAGAAACATTGCTAACACAGTAACGTAGCCTCACATCCAGCCTATGAAGTACACAGGCGTCAAGGACGCCCACTTCAGAAACATTGCTAACACAGTAACGTAGCCTCACATGCAGCCTATGAAGTACACAGGCGTCAAGGACGCCCACTTCAGAAACATTGCTAACTGCTGCAGCCTCTACGTTTCATTTCTTAAAAGCCTTGTCATTGGGCGCACAATGGGCATAGTTCATGCAGCAAATAGGTTGGAGTGAATAGTGTGCACCTGGCTGCAGCCCTCTTTGGCACGACCACTGTTTCTTCTTTTCTTTGTCATCTTTGAGGTACAGGCCCAAGAAAGATGAAGTAGAATCTTAATTTGAGGGTGACTAAATGCTTCCTTCAAGACCACTTGCCCCAAATCCACATTCTGCAAGACAGTTCAAGAAAAAAGGCAAAGTAGCCATCTCGCTCAAGGCTATGGGCTCCACAATACTTAGCACAGTTGTCCCCAAGTGTAAACACTTCCTATGGCACGCTTCTTCCCTGTCCCCCAGGTTAGACACAGTAATACCAAGGCGTTCTGTCATGGACACTCATCCTTTAAGGTGGTGCACACCTGTGGCCCCAGCTATTTGGGAGGCTGAGGCAGGGGGGTCAAGGCTGCAGTGAGCCGTGACTGTACCACAGCACTCCTCTAGCCTGGGCAAGAGTTAAGACCCTATCTCCATTAAGACAAAAACAAGTATTTCAAACAATAACAGCAGTTTAATTATTCCTTTGGCATCTAGGTAAAACAGGTCTTTCTCTATAAAGCCTACTATGTTGTGGTCTAGTTTCAAAAAGTATAAACGTACTGAAATTAAAACGTGAAATATTGGCCGGGCGCGGTGGCTCAAGCCTGTAATCTGAGCACTTTGGGAGGCCAAGGTGGGCGGATCACGAGGTCAAGAGATCGAGACCATCCTGGCCAACATGGTGAAACCCGGTCTTACTAAAAATACAAAAATTAGCTGGGCATGGTGGCAGGTGCCTGTAGTCCCAGCTACTCGGGAAGTTGAGGCAGGAGAATTGCTTGAACCCGGGAGGTGGAGGTTGCAGTGAGCCGAGATTGTGCCACTGCACTCCAGCCTGGTGCCTGGCAACAGAGTAAGACTCTGTCTCAAAAAAAAAAAAAAAAAAAAAAAAAAAAAAAAAAAGTGAAATATTAATAAAAGATGATGTGGAGGCCAAAAACCATGAATGAGGTAGTCAATAGTGTGGCTTATATGACACACCCACCTCACACTTCCCAGAGGCACATTTGGGAAAGCCACTAGCAGCCACTGCACAAGGCTGCTCCAAGATTACAGGTCACCTGGGCCTATGAGTTACTTGAAACAGCAACCTAACCCAATGCCAAGCTGGGCTGTTTTCTCCAAGGGAATTCTCAACTGTCTTCTGCAGTAGAATTTCTGTGCAAGTCAGCCCCAGACCCTGGGAAAGTGGTGTTACGCCTGGGGACATGGTTTCTCTGAGAAGCAGGGATGTTTGGAGATTAATACTGAAAGCTGCGCTTCGTCTGGATATCGTCAAGAATCTGCTGCAGCTCCTCATCTTCAAACCGCCCCTCCAAGCTACAAGAAAACCGAAAGAATGAGTGACTCGGCAACTGGCAATTTCCTTACGCTCTTCTTTGAGGCGTGATAATCTACTGCCTCTATCTCTAACACCTTTACCTTTCACCTGTATTTCTTTTCCACTTTTCCTGAAAAAAACATTACAAAATATTTCCAACATGTAAAAGAGAAAGGGTATAAAAAATAAACCTTTACAGTTAGCCCCACTTGACTCAGAGTGCTTTTTTTTTTTTTTTTTGAGATGAAGTCTCACTCTGGCGCTCAAGCTGTAGTGCAGTGGCATGATCTCAGCTCACTGCAACCTCAGCCTCCCAGGTTCAAGCAATTCTTAAGAGTTCTTTTATTTATTTATTTTTAAATTTTTATTTATTTTTTGAGAGGGAGTTTCACTCTTGTCCCCCAGGCTGGAATGCAGTGGCATGATCTTGGCTCACTGAAACCTCCCCCTCCTGAGTTCAAGTGATTTTCCTACCTCAGCCTATTGAGTAGCTGGGATTACAGACAACCGCCACCACGCCCAGCTAATTTTTATGATTTTAGTAGAGACAGGGTTCCACCCTGTTGGGTAGGCTGGTATGAAAGTCCTGACCTCAGGTGATCTGCTCGCCTCAGCCTCCCAAAGTGCTAAGATGACAGGTGTGAGCCACCGCGCCCGGCCAGAGTTCTTTAACAAGCAGGAAAAGTGGATGGCTATGCATACTACCCTAGACTTACACCTTCCCTTCTTCCCCAGGAATAACCACAATTTATCATTGCCATACATTTAAAATTTTATTTGCCACATATATATTTATATTTACTACACATTTATGGATATATAATATGCAGCAGTTTCAAACTTTATAAGAAATGGCATCATACTGTATTTATCCTTCTGCAATTTTTTTCCTCAAAATTCATTCTGGCATATGTTGATATAATTCTATGTTGTTCTAGCGCACTTTTTTCACTGCTGTACAATAAACACTGTTATGACTATACAATGATTCATTTATCCATTTTCTTATTGATCAAGAGATTATCAAATTTCTGCTATCATTAACAATGCAGCATGAGGCTGGGCGCCGTGGCTCATGCCTGTAATCCCAGCACTTTGAGAGGCCGAAACAGGCAGATCACCTGAGGCCAAGAGTTTGAGATCAGCCTGGCCAACACAGCAAAACCCCATGTCTACTTAAAAAAAAACAAAAATGCGGCAATGAACACTGTAATATACATCTCCTTGGAAACTTGTGTGAGTTACCTTTAGGATACGTACTCAGGCAGCTTGGCCAAGATGGCAAAACCCCATCTCTACTAAAAATACAAAAATTAGCCAGGTGTGGTGGCAGGCACCTGTAATCCCAGCTACTCAGGAGACTGAGGCAGGAGAATCGCTGAACCCAGGAGGTAGAGGTTGAATTGAGCCGAGGTCGCACCACTGCACTCCAGCCTGGGTGACAGAGTGAGACTCTGTCTCAAAAAAAAAAGATATGTACCCAGGAATGGATTTTTGGAACATGGAGTACGTTCATCTTTACTAGACATAGCCAAATTGCTCTTCAAAATGATTGTTCTAATTAACGCTCCTACCATCAGTATATGAAGTTCCAGCTGTTCCTTATTTTTGCTATCACTTGGTATCGCTCTCACTGTTAAAACGGCACTTTAATTCAATATTGGCAATTATGTATACAAATATAAAATGCATAAACGTTTTAGACACACCAATTATATCTGCAGAAATTTATCCAGTATACAGAGAACTTCTCACAGCTGGTACTAACCTTGGGATTAGAGCCTTGGACTCCTCAGCAGTCTCTGGGCAAAGGTTGGCCAGACAGGCCAACTCAAACTTATGAAGCTTTTTCTGGAGTAGCAAGCTGATCAACAGGGGAAAAAAAAAATCAAAACAAATTAAAACCAAATAAACAACAAAAATCAAACAATAATCAACAGGAAAAAAGGGATCAAAGTAACTTACATTTAAAAAAAGCTAGACGGCTGGGTGTGGTGGCTCACGCCTATAATTCCAGCACTTTGAGAGGCCAAGGTGGGCGGATCACTTGAATGAGGAGTTCGAGACCAGCCTGAGCACCATGGCAATACC